ATATCATTGCAACTAAGATGAACCGGCCGGCTGACCTTGGGTTTTAACATGGTTTATATACATGATAAACGAGGATGAAATGGTGGCATTTCACCGTCTGATTGGGATATTTCAGAGAAGATATGAGATATGAAGGGATATAATGAAATTCGACTAACCAACACAAGGACATATTAAACTTAAAAGGACATATTTGGGATATGATGGGTATGCATGTGGATACATATATATATATATATATATGTATATACACACATGCATGCAAACATGCAAACGTGCAAACATGCAAGCTTGCATGCATGTATATGACTATATACATATAATTATGAAATCACATCCAAGAAAATGCAGAAACACGGATTTTATCATATCACTATCTTGACTGCATTTTTGCACTTGAATTTTGCACGGATCTTTTTGGAGTTTGCAGATCCAACAAGTGCTTTTTGGGGCCCGTGCATATGACACCAACATTTTTTTCTTATACAATCAGCCAGATATCTTACAGGATATAACCAGGCAACAATATCGATTAATGTTATATACTGGTTGGTGGTTTCAACCCCTCTGAAAAAATATGAATCAGTTGGGATGATGAAAATCCCAATATATGGAAAAACAAAAACTGTTCAAATCCACCAATCAGTAATGTGACTTTGTACCAAAGCGGCATTTTTTCCCTCCAAAAGAAAAGGCGTTTCCATGAAGGAAGATCAACCGGGGGAGGGGATGAATCCTCGACAAACCGGGTATAGCGGTATAGCCGATCTGCCCACATCGATAATTCTGAGATAGGTCACATATGGTCACATTCAGTACAGACTCTTGATTCCATTGATTCCTTGAGTGGCTCTTCCTGAGAGCAGTGTATGTGGCTTCAACAGCTTCCATCATTCCAGACCATGGATCCAACTTTTCTCAGCCACCTGACATGGCTAGTCTTAGATACCTTGCGCCATAAGATGTTTTTAGTTGGTGAGTACTTATCAAGACTTTTCATGTTGAAAACGACAAACAAAAATTGAAGTACTAAAGTACTTCTATGATCAAATTTGAATTACCCAACTCCACTACTAGTACAAGTCTGGTTGGTGGTTTCAGCCCGAATATGCTCGTCATTGGGGGATCATTGTCCCCACATGTTGTTGAAAATGATAGTGATTAAGAAATACAATCACTGTTAGTAAAGCAATCATACACCATCCCCAATTTTACATAATTTCCGCCGACCCCTGCCTAGCCTTGGCCTAGGCGGGGCGGCGCCCTGGATCACCGTAGGTGTGCGGCATGGCCCTTAAAAGCCTCAAAAGCCCCGGACCAGCTTTCGAAGGCCTTTGAACTGCAAAACATCCGCAGCAGCTTGCGAAGGCGTCCCGCCTGCTTTGCCATGGTACCTCACGAGGCCCCACAAGCTGTTTCTATTGGGCTTCGGAACTGCTACGTGGCACGTTTTGGGCACCCCTTAAAAGCCTCAAAAGCCCGGCCTTCGAACCGCAAAACTCCCGCAGCAGCTTGCGAAGGCGTCCCGCCTGCTTTGCCATGGTACCTCCCTAGGCCCCACAAGCTGTTTCTATTGGGCTTCGAAACTGCTACGTGGCACGTTTTGGGCACCCCTTAAAAGCTCCAAAAGCCCCGCAGCAGCTTTCGAAGGCCTTTGAACCGCAAAACCCTCCGCAGCAGCTTGCGAAGGCGTCCCGCTTGCTTTGCCATGGTACCTCCCGAGGCCCCACAAGCTGTTTCTATTGGGCTTCGAAACTGCTACGTGGCACGTTTTGGGCACTCCTTAAAAGCCTCAAAAGCCCCGCAGCAGCTTTCGAAGGCCTTTGAACCGCAAAACCCTCCGCAGCAGCTTGCGAAGGCGTCCCGCCTGCTTTGCCATGGTACCTCCCTAGGCCACACAAGCTGTTTCTATTGGGCTTCGAAACTGCTACGTGGCACGTTTTGGCACCCTTTTAAAAGCTCCAAAAGCCCCGCAGCAGCTTTCGAAGGCCTTTGAACCGCAAAACCCTCTGCAGCAGCTCGTCCCGCCTGCTTTGCCATGGTACCTCCCTAGGCCCCACAAGCTGTTTCCATTGGGCTTCGAAACTGCTACGTGGCACGTTTTGGGCACCCCTCAAAAGCTTCAAAAGCCCCACAGCAGCTTTCGAAGGCCTTTGAACCGCAAAACCCTCCGCAGCAGCTTGCGAAGGCGTCCCGCCTGCTTTGCCATGGTACCTCCCTAGGCCCCACAAGCTGTTTCTATTGGGCTTCGAAACTGCTACGTGGCACGTTTTGGGCACCCCTTAAAAGCTCCAAAAGCCCCGCAGCAGCTTTCGAAGGCCTTTGAACCGCAAAACCCTCCGCAGCAGCTTGCGAAGGCGTCCCGCTTGCTTTGCCATGGTACCTCCCTAGGCCCCACAAGCTGTTTCTGTTGGCCTTTGAAACTGCTACGTGGCACGTTTTTGGCAGCCTCAAAAGCCCCGCAGCAACTTTCGAAGGCCTTTGAACCACACATAAACCCTCCACAGCAGCTTTCGAAGGCGTCCCGCCTGCTTTGCCATGGTACCTCACGAGGCCCCACAAGCTGTTTCTATTGGGCTTCGGAACTGTTACGTGGCACGGGCACCCCTTAAAAGCCTCAAAAGCCCGGCCTTCGAACCGCAAAACTCCCGCAGCAGCTTGCGAAGGCGTCCCGCTTGCTTTGCCATGGTACCTCCCTAGGCCCCACAAGCTGTTTCTATTGGGCTTCGAAACTGCTACGTGGCACGTTTTGGGCACCCCTTAAAAGCCTCAAAAGCCCCGCAGCAGCTTTCGAAGCCTTTGAACCGCAAAAGCCTCCTGCTTTGCCATGGTAGCTCCCGAGGCTCCACAAGCTGTTTCTATTGGGCTTCGAAACTGCTACGTGGCACGTTTTGGGCACCCCTTAAAAGCCTCAAAAGCCCCGCAGCAGCTTTCGAAGGCCTTTGAACCGCAAAACCCTCCGCAGCAGCTTGCGAAGGCATCCCGCTTGCTTTGCCATCCTCCCTAGGCCCCACAAGCTGTTTCTATTAGGCTTCGAAACTGCTACGTGGCACGTTTTGGGCACCCCTTAGAAGCCTCAAAAGCCCTGCAGCAGCTTTCGAAGGCCTTTGAACCGCAAAACCCTCTGCAGCAGCTTGCGAAGGCGTCCCGCCTGCTTTGCCATGGTACCTCCCTAGGCCCCACAAGCTGTTTCTATTAGGCTTCGAAACTGCTACGTGGCACGTTTTGGGCACCCCTCAAAAGCTTCAAAAGCCCCACAGCAGCTTTCGAAGGCCTTTGAACCGCAAAACCCTCCGCAGCAGCTTGCAAAGGCGTCCCGCCTGCTTTGCCACCCAAAAGCTCTGGTTAGGCTAAATTCTATCTATTAGGTTATATCTTGTTTTCTGACTATTGGTTATTTTTTGTTTTTACCTAATTATTAGGTAAAACAACTGTTTTACCTAATAGTCAGAATGATCAAATAGCATTGTTTTTCTTTACGTTATTTATATGAATAACCTGTTTTTTCTAATATGTTATTTATATGAATAACCTGTTTTGGTACCTTTTCTTGGAAAAACTTTGTTTTCTTTATATATAAAAATATCTATCTATATTGTAATCTCCAATGAAACATTTTTTGATTTGATACATTTTTCCGATAAAATGATGCTGAAAAAACTACATACAAAAGAAACACAAAAACCATATATTTTGGATGGGACAAACCAACACAGGATAGAAACAAAACACACATGTCAAAAAAAAGTATATTGTATATACATTGATATGTCTCAAAACGAGGTGTCTTGTTTTGGTTCCAAAAAGGGTTTTTCGAGAGGAAAAAAGGACACCTCATTTTGAGACAACCCCCCACACACACACACTTTTACATATATATATATATTTATTTAAAAAAAATACATAAATTTACACACACATATATATATATATATACATATGCATATATATATATACATATATATATATGTCAATATATGAATTTGAATAAATGAATAGATAATTTAGATAACTATATATATTTATAACAATATAAAAATAACAAATCATGTTTTTGCAAAAATTAGCAAGGATTTTTTCGGGGCGCGAAACCACCACAGGACAAAACAAAAAATACATAAAACATAAAATTAGAATTAATGTTCAGTTCAAGAAAAGAACAACTAAATCAAAAACTCACATAGCCAACAACCCAAAATAAGAAGTTCAAAAACTGTGAGACATATGGTTCAACAAGTAATTTGCCAGCTGCATTGTATCTGGAAAAACACGAATTCATGTGAGTTCATGGGTGCTCATGCGCGCTCAAGTGCTCATGGGTGCCCATGGATGTACATGGTTGTTCATGCGTGTGTATGGGTGTTCATGTGTTTTTGTTTGTTTGTCGTTTTGTTTTGCTGCCATCAACTTTCTTTGAACTTAAAAAAATGAACTTGAGATGGAGGTCCCAGCCCTGGGCTGATTTCTTTCTTGAATTATCATTATCGGCAATCCAAGGGTTTTGGAGGGGCCTTTTTTGAAATCAGTTCGGGCAGCAGTAGTTTTATAAAGACAAGCTGTCAAGACTGGATGGCCTTGGATTTGTCAAAAGCAGTGGTCGGCAAAAAAAAAAGAAAGTCCTGGTCCTGGTGAGGATTGGTTGTATTCATTTTTTTTGCAAAAACTAAACGGCCAATCCAGCCCAGACTCAAATCAATCACTAAAGGGCCTGCAGCCCTCGATATCAGAAAACCAGCACAAAGATTAACAATCACCTGGGGCTCTCCATCCTTGACATTTATGCCAAACAAATGCGACTAAAAACAAACAATGCCCGGAATTTGCCATTAATTTTTGGGTTTTGCAGTTTTCAGATTCATGTTTACAAAAAGAAGGAAAAAGGTTGTCAATCCCAGAACCCATCCATTACTACCGTTTTTTTTCCTCAAACCTATTTGCAAGAAAATGCAATCCAACCCAGAGTTAGTTGATCACTTGGGCCTTCCCATGCCAATCCATTTCCTAAAAACTAATCCAAATGTTTTGCAATGACTTGGGGCCCTCCATTCATCAAATTCATTCACATTTGCATGGGAAAATCTCTCCGTGAAAGTGTTTGGTTGAAGATTTTTTGATGGAAAAAATGACTGATCAAACATTTTTTTGAAAAAAAACATGTTTTTCAAAAAAATCAAGTTTTTTTAATAAAACCAATGTTTTTTTGAATAAACATGTTCTTTTTTAAACTAAAAAACATTTTTTTTGAATAAAATCAAGTTTTTTTTGAATAAATCCAAGATTTTTTGAAGATTTTCAAGGAAATGAGGTGTAAGTTTGATGTAAGTTTGCATCAAACTTACACTTTTGAGGTGTAAGTTTACATCAAACTTACACTAAACTTACACATCAAGAGTGTAAGTTTACACCAAACTTACATATCAAAAGTGTAAGTTTACATCAAACTTACACATACAAGTGCAAACTTACACTTCTCAGTGTAAGTTTGATGTAAATTTACACTTTTGATATGAAAGTTTGGTGTAAACTTACACTCTTGATGTGTAAGTTTAGTGTAAGTTTGATGTAAACTTACACCTCAAAAGTGTAAGTTTGATGCAAACTTACATCAAACTTACACCTCATTTCCTTGAAAATCTTCAAAAATTCTTGGATTTATTCCAAAAAATCTTGGTTTTTAGTCAAACAAATGATGTTTATTCAGCAAAAATCTGGATTTTATTCAAAAAAAACTTGTTTTTAATGATTTTTGTCAAAAAAATGTTTGGTCAATCACTTTTTTCCATCAAACAATCTTCAACCAAACACTTTCTCGGAGAGATTTTCCCATGCAAATGTGAATGAATTTGATGACTGGAGGGCCCCAAGTCATTGCAAAACATTTGAATTAGTTTTTAGGAAATGGATTGGCATGGGAAGGCCCAAGTGATCGATTAACTCTGGGTTGGATTGCATTTTCTTGCAAATAGGTTTGAGGAAAAAAACGTAGTAATGGATGGGCTCTGGGATTGACACCCCTTCTCTTTATTTTGGGTAAATTCTGGGTTTACTTGCCTCAAAGACATGAATGCTGATCACGTCAAGTCACTTGCATTGTTTGGTGGTTTCGTTGGTTTTTTCAATGGGGAGAAAGGCCAAGGATGGAGAGCCCCAGGCGATTGCAAATCTTTGGGCAGGTGTTTTGATGTAAAAAGGTTTGAGGGATGGAGACCCCCTTAGTGATTGATCAAGTCTTGGCTGGATTGTTCCGTTTAGTTTTTGCAAAAACAACTTGAATACAACCAATCCTCACCTAGCAAGTCTTCAAAAATTTTGTGCTTGCCACTACTTTCTTACAAGTGAAAACCTTCCAGTCTTGACAGTTTTTGTTTATGAATCTGTTACTGGCCAACGTTCAAGTTGATTTCAAAAAATGCCCTTCAAAGCCAGGAAAACCAGGGTTTGCCAATGATTTGGGGTTCTCTAGCCCCAAATTTATCTTTAAAAAACAAATAACCATCGAGTCCAAGCTGACCAAGAACTCAGGGATTTCCATCTGGTCACCAAGGCACAGGTTTTGCAGCCAAATAGCAGCGCATGAGACAAAACCACCAACCAAATCAGCAAGTGTCTACACTTGTTTTTTTGGTTGGGTTCGCGCGCCGGGGGGCAGCCATTTTATACCCAAAAATCGCGCGCGAACCTCACGAAAAAATACTTTGATTTTTCTTTTTGGGCATGGAAACCCACTGAGTAAGCTAAATGGGTGGCAGCCGAAAAAAAGAAAAACACACATGAACACCCATGAGCAATGAGCACCCGCGAATTCACATGAACTCCTCTGAGTTTCATAAACGATGCAGCTGACAAGTTAGGTTTTGGACAGTTTTCATATTTTTTTTATTTATTACTGTGTGTTGTTGTTTTTGCATTTGTTGGTTTCATTTTTCTTCTTGTTTTTGGTTTTTCATCCTGTGCTGGCTTGGCGCTCCCAAAAACTATCCATTGCCATTGTTGCAAAACATGTTTTTTCCCTTGTTTGGGTATGTCTGAAAATGAGGTGACCTTTTTTCCCTTCAACGTAACCATTTTGGGGTCAAAAAAGGACACTTCATGTTGAGACATACCCATTTGCTCATATTGTTTTGGACATGTGTTTTTGTTGCTTCCATGCTGTGTTGGCTTGCCCCATCTAAAACATATCCGACTGAAATTTACAGATTCACTTTAGCACAAAAGGCTTCACTTTAGCACAAAAAATCACTTCAGACCCGCATAAATCAAAAGAAAGCGACATACATCACTCACAAAACAATGAAGAAACATTTGAAAAACTATTTACCAAAAAAACATGTAATTCAAAAATTCCAAAGGAAACACATATGGAAAAAGACTGTGTCTTTAGTTTAAACTGTTGAAAATATAGTTTGGTGAAAGAAAACCAAAGTCTCAAACAAGACAGTTTTTAGGTTATTCGGCTAAATAAACTATTTAGGCAAACAGGCAAACAACCTAAAAGACAGAACATGAAATAACCTAATAGATAGAATTTAACCTTAAAAACTAAAATAACCTAATAGGCAGGAATTAGCCTAACCAGAGCTTTTGGGCATGGTACCTCCCTAGGCCCCACAAGCTGTTTCTATTGGGTTTCGAAACTGCTACGTGGCACGTTTTGGGCACCCCTTAAAAGCTTCAAAAGCCCCGCAGCCGCTTTCGAAGGCCTTTGAACCGCAAAACCCTCTGCAGATGCTTGCAAAGGCGTCCCGCCCGCTTTGCCATGGTACCTCCCTAGGCCCCACAAGCTGTTTCTATTAGGCTTCGAAACTGCTACGTGGCACGCTTTAGGCGCCCCTTAAGCTTCAAAAGCCTCGCAGCAGCTTTCGAAGGCCTTTGAACCGCAAAGCCCTCCGCAGCAGCTTGCAAAGGCGTCCCGCCTGCTTTGCCATGGTACCTCCCTAGGCCCCACAAGCTGTTTCTATTGGGCTTCGAAACTGCTACGTGGCACGTTTTGGGCACCCCTTAAAAGCCTCAAAAGCCCTGCAGCAGCTTTCGAAGGCCTTTGAACCGCAAAACCCTCCGCAGCAGCTTGCGAAGGCGTCCCGCCTGCTTTGCCATGGTACCTCCCTAGGCCCCACAAGCTGTTTCTATTAGGCTTCGGAACTGCTACGTGGCACGTTTTGGGCACCCCTTAAAAGCCTTAAAAGCGAAAAAAGGGGTCGGCGGCACCCGGGCGCTAGCCCATTCTATTACCATATATGACTGGTATAAGCCATCAAATTACGTGGCTGGTTTATGAAATTGCTATACTAACATCACAGGAACCACCAGTGATAAACTCTAAGAAGTGATAGCCCCAAGCAACTTCTACATTTTCAGTCACTTCCCAATGTTTTCTCGTTACTTTTGTTCGCCCATCTTCAACAGATGTCGAGTTCACCCCATCTGATCCCACTATTATCCCATTGTAACTGAGGTGAACTAAGCCACTTACCAACTGGGATAAGCCGCCTTGCGTAATTGCTAAACATATTATGTAATTCCTAGTTTGTTATGTTCAGTAAATTCCATTCATCACTCTAACAATCCCCATTTTTTACATTGAATGAATTGCAATCCATCATCTCATTTACCACTATTCTACATACTTATAACAATTGATAGTGATTGATATTCATAACGGTGATTGATATCACTAATAATTAGTGATTCATAGTGATCCATATTGATGTCCATTACTATTAAAGGTGTTTACTCAATATCATCATTGATAATCCCAAATATCATCACTATTAATGATAACATCATCAATGATAATATACTAGTATAGTGAGAAATAAATTAAGTTCATCAATATTCTCATGCATAGTGATTCATACTGACAACAGTGATACTTATGCAAGGGTTAGTCTGAAAATACATACCCCCAATTCCAAGGCATTGTCATCAGTATCCCCTATGAATTGAGACAAAGCCACAGCTCCACGAATTACCATTGATCATCCCATGATTTATCACATTCAACTAAAAGAAATCACTGAAATTGAATGACCATTAAATTAAAGAAATAACATGCATGTTATCACCAGATTATCAAGAATTGCCATTAAACTATCACATTTCACTGAGAAATTCGGCCTTCTTCCACTTCTCTTGCGGACCCCATATCCCGGCTAAAGCTGAAAAAGTTCGACCAAAAATGGATCCACGATTCCAATATCATGATACTCATTGCAATGACAATATACCATTCTGTATTCAATATTGGAAAAATATCATTGGATAATATCAGTAGTATGAATCCAATATATTTAATATCAGCCATCCTTATTTCAATATCATCAAATGTTTTTTCCAAGATTGTATTATCGGGAATCAGGGAATAATATTCCATGGTCAAAAAAAAATCCAATATCATACCCTGATCAGTGATATAGAATGTATAATCCCATTTGCAACTATAACTAATAGCTGGTTGGTGGTATACCATATACCTACCCCTCTGAAAAATATGAGTCAGTTGGGATCTGTTTGTTCCCAATCTATGGAAAGTCAATCCAAATTCCATGGTTCCAGTCACCACCAACCAGTAATTCTATATATATATATATAAAAGCCATGATTGACCATGATTGACCATCATTAAGCCATGATAATCCCATTTGCAAGCAGTTACCAACCAGATAGCCATGGCCATCCAGGGCCATCCATCTGCCATGTTTTCCGAGCTTCTGGGAACTTCTTTTCCAGCCGGGTGAAGCCTGGCGTTGTGCTGAAACGCCCTGTCATTAACCAGGGGAGGATGGGTCCGATGGGAAAACTCATGGGAAAATGGATGAACATGGTGGATACTCTTCATGTCTGATGGGAAAATCATGGGAAAATCATGGGAAAATCATGGATGATTAACAGATATTAACAGTATTCATCGTTTATGATATAGAATTCTAGGTAATTCTTGCATACGGATGGTTTTATGATGGATATTCAGCCATTGCTACTATACTCCGATGGGCCTTGACGTTCAACATAATTCCCACCATCTGGATGATTCTCATGGTGATATCCGACGCGAAAACATCCACATCTATTGTATTTAATGACACGTATAGATACCACCTGGTTATGACTAACATAGCCATGGTATAGATGGCCTAGAAATAGATTGTTTACCTATTAATAGCATGTTGAAAAAACAAATCCATTTGTGTTGCTGAAATCCGCTGTTTTCTCCGGCCTGTTGCAAGTGCTCAGGCCCAACTTTGCCGGGTTGAACAATACGTTTTTTTTTTTCCCAGGTGTTTGCTCGCAAAAGAAAACTGCAAATACAGTCTCATGATTGAATATATCAATTACCTCATGTTCAATTGTGAAACCCTAGTTCTTCATTGCTTCAAAACCCATTTTTCATGACTAAATCATATGAATCCCCCCGTTTTTGATGCTTTCAACCACGTAATGTCATCATTTCTTATAGGTCAATCAGCATCCCCCGTTCCCCGGTTCCTCGGTCGATGAGCTCCATCGGAGCACCGGCCAAACGCGCTTCGATCAGCACACGTTTCAACTCCTGGTGCTGGAAATCATGTGAGTTGAACATGGTCAACATGGAACATGGTGAATAGTAATAATCAGCTCATAAATATTAACAATATTACCAGTTGATACCAGTTGATTACCACATGTTCTTATTGATCATGTGAGTTACGAATGGTCAATAACATGGAACATGGTAATAATTAACCATGATTATTAGCTATGATAAATTACTGGTTAACATTAACAATATTACTAATATTTTATAATTGTGCTGGGTAATATTACTGTAATAATATTACCAGTTGATTACCACAATGTTATTTTTGATCACGTGAGTTATAAATGGTCAATAATCATGGTTAATATGAACAATAATAATGGAACATCAATTATTATTGAATCCTGGTGATTTTCGATTATTGTTAATTTTAACAATCACCAGGAGTGAACGATTTCCCATCAAGAGAAAATCAATGATTAATCAACAGTATGGTAGTATAATACTGGTTAGCACAGTTGGTTAATAATGGCTAATATAATTATGGTTAATCACGATGAACAATTGAGTTCATCTGAAAATAGGGGATACTAACAAACAAATACATACAAATACTGGTTGGTTGTATACCTACCCCTCTGAACAATATGAAAGCCAGTTGGGATGATTATTCCCAATCTATGGAAAGTCACTCCAAATTCCATGGTTCCCAGTCACCACCAGCCAGTAATTCTATATATATATATATATATAAGCCATTATTAACCATGATTGACCATGATTGACCATCATTAAGCCATGATAATAACCAGAATAGCAATTTTCATAGGACAATTGGATGATAATCCCTTGGAATTGGAGGTACCATATTTTCAGACGCCTGACTAATCACAACTGGTCAACTGGTCAACCAGCCATTTTCGAATGCTGGGAATCCCATATTGATGGTGGGATCTTGGCTGGGCGTGAAAGACTTCCCATGAAATGGGAATAAATAACTTCTCACTTAATCAATTGGTTGACACATTGTTCCATTATGCTGGATAAATTATAATATTTCACTAACCTGAGATAAGGCCATTTGGGGGTGATTTCCCTTACTAACTATGATTTCCAGTGAGGTCGCAGTGAGGTCGTTATAATTTACACAGATTATGGTAATGAACTGTGATAATGGGATATCGTGAAAATGTGAGGAGTCTTTAGCAGCAAACCTTTGGAATACAACATGATAAACCATATGGGTGTTGGGATATGTAATTGATTGTAATTGGCATATCATGGGGATATACCAAAAAATAAATGGTAGATATACGCGGGATGCATCGTGGCATAAAAAAACATAAACAGGATATAGTAGCTTTGACAGCTATATGGATACCCACAAGAAGATACAAAAACACATCCGGGATGTTAAAACTTACGAAGGAGAACGAGCGCGACAGGCTTGGGGGTGTTCAATCGCCGGATGAAGGTGGAAATTCGAAATGGAACAAACGGATAAAGAGATCATCTTCAGCAATGCATATGAGTTTTCGGGATATTTAACGAGGAGATGTTGGGATCATGAAACAAAAATACCAAGATACATATTTGAGATGCATAGTTGGGAAAATCCTGCTTTTTGCTATTCAATTTGATAATATATATATATATGAGGTATCGACAATTTGGATAAAATGTGGATCTATTGCCATCGATGGGGATGCCGCCCATGAAAAAGGTGATATTCACAACGGATTTTTCTGTTCAGAAACAAGAATTGGGTATAACAATACTGAGTAAATATTAGATGTGTGTTGGAAAGAATGGATTTTAAATGTACATGGGGAGTTTTTGACCAGCAACACGTCGTGGGGTGGGTTTTCCAGGTGTAGCTGGGACGATCGGGTGATGCTGGGGATGTACACCTCAGCTTTATATGTCGATGTGTTGAGTCGCTATCACGTGGTAAACACCCAAAAAACAACCTTCCATATTTAGAGATAACGCTTATCACCCATTTTATCGCAAGTCATTGCTGGTTTCTTGTTGAGCTTACCAAACCATCATACCTACCAATTTTGGATGTACACACTAATATGCCCATTTGGGTGTGTCTGACTATGGGGTGAAAATCATGATGAACCAGTCGGTGGAATGGGGTACTCTGCAAACAAATTCATACATCATATAAATTGCTTAGCTATATGTCATTGTATCAATAAAAAACACTTAACCCATACATTTTTGGACATATTTCAAACATTAAATCCCAATAATACATGATACATGAAATATTGTATCAGTAAGCTAGATTATATTTATATATATGTATATTGTATCCTCATGAAAGTTCGAACAAATCCCATTAATCAAATCCAAATTGTTGGTGATTATCAAAAGTTGATGATGGTTCTCCCATCACACTTTCAATACACCCCATTACATGCAAATAAATGCCATGCAATCTCAGTACATCCCAATAAACCTCAATCACCCCAAGCACCTCCATTAAATCCCATTTTAATCCCATTCATTCACTATACAATCCCATTCAAGTCTCATTGAATCACTGATCCCGTCAAAGCTGGATTTTTTTATGGGATTTTAATGGGATTTGAATCACTAATTACCCTCTGGTAAATTAACATAGATCCTGAAAATAGCCTAGTTACCTAGTTTTAATGGAAAACTCATCTTCCAACCCCGATGACTGCCAGGGCCTATGTTAATTTACCAGAGGGTAGTGGTTGCCAACCAGCGGGGCGCCTCGCCAGGCTCCATGGGGCTGGAGATGGCGTGTTCCAACCTATGGCTGGACGTTCCATGTGTTGGAAAGCCATAGGAAAACCATAGGAAAATGGAGTCTCCATAAATTAATGATGATGAATGGTTAATAAATGGCTTTTCACCATGATTAATAGTGATCAATCATAAAATCAAGAATGGTGATTAATGATGATTAATGATGATAAATGGGGGTTCCCAAAATTGATTGTTTATAAGGGAAAATCCATCTATAAATGGGTGGTGACTGGGGGTACCCCCCCATTTTAGGAAACCTCCATATATACATATATATATATATACCTGGAGGTTTCCTTGGAAAACAAACTCCACTGACCTCACTGCGACTTTGGTCAAAAGTTCTTGGGGATCATCACACTTAAGGCCATTTATTATATAGTTGTAACATGTTATAACCAGTTCTAAATGGGACTGTACATTCTATAAATTGGGTTTTAACATGTTACAACTGACTTAGAACTGGTAAAGGGCCATCACTGTACATGTATATGGAGGTTTCCTAAAATGTGGGTACCCCCAAATCATCAATTTGAATAGGATTTTCCATTATAAACCATCAATTTTGTGGTGCCACAATTTTAGGAAACCTCCAAATATTGGACATACATAGTAGATTTTTACAACATGTTTGAAATACACACTTTTTAAACATGCATACTATGAATGTGTTGGACAGAAACTATACATATTTTGGTTCAAACTATAGGACAGTTGGGAATAAATTGGTTGGGAAAGATCTTGGAAATATTATGTTCCATAAGAAAGTTATTTGTGGTCGGGAAATACATCTATTGGAAATATGGAAGGTTGGAAATAAGTGTCTATAGCTATGGCAATAACATGCAATAACCAAGAAACATACTGCTGAGGGTGCAGTTACCCTCTGGTAAACTAACATAACTATGGAAAATCACCATTTTTAATGGGAAAACTAACTATAAATGGCCATGTTCAATGGCTTTGTGTATGTTTACCAGAGGGTAGAGGCCATAACTACGGCTTCGCCCATAAGTTGGGTGGGCCTTCCGTAATTATGGTTATACCCTCCGGTTTCACGTGGCGGGAACCGCTGAAAAAAATAGAGGTTTTGATAGGAAAATCGTCTAAGAATAAGAGAGATTCCATTGCCATGTTTGAGTACCGGAGGGTATATATCCACCTATAACTCGAACTGCAGACCCAAGCAATAGGTACAAACCAGTAACCATCAGGGGGCTCAACCAGCAAAAATGGGAAGAAGTTCCAAACGTTTTGGTTACTCCTTTTAAGAGAGAACATGGTGATCGACTATGAGATTGTATTGAATGCCGACTTTTAAGACAAATCCATGAAAATTAAAAGACAAACTGTGGGAATTCACCTATAAACAAAATCAACCCTCATGAAAACAGAAATTATCATTGGAAAACATGCGCATGTCACCTGCAAAAATGAAAGTCCACCAGAAAAAGGAGGAATTTCAGAATCCAGCAACCAAAAAAAACAAGGCCTCCACAAACAACACGGGATTTCATAAGCATTCAGATGTGACACAAAAATGGGGTAACCAAGGCGCATCAACTCCCCAAAATGTAAACATGTGACAGCTTAGGATGTTGGATGTTTTTAATGCGTCACTCAAGGTTGGATAGATCCTACTTGGTGAAGTCATATGCGAAGCCATTTCCAATTTCGATGATAAATCCCATGGATTCTTGTAATTTTACCCTTCAATCAATCCGAAGGAATGAGGCAAATGTTGCTTGGGCCAGGAGCCAACCTTTGAGGGGGAAGATCCCCCAACTATATCCCGATTTGCCTGGCCCAAAGCTATAAACACCACCCATCAAAGTGGAACACCACGCTGCTTTGCCAGGCCGGAAACACATCTGGGATCCCCAAGTGGGAAAAAAAACACTATCTCAGCAAACCCAGGCTATCCATCACTATTCTAGTGGTCCATTAATATCAAATTATACACTGATCAGTAAGCAGCATGAACCATTATATTAAACAGCAAAAATAATGTTGATAACTCAGAACCTTGTAATTATCATTCCAACCATTATTGACTCATACATATACATATATATATGATAATGTTTTAACAATGCTGAGAAAACAATGAATGATTCGAATTAAGAACCATTAGTCAACCATTGAATCTGCCATTACAACAACCAGTAATCACCATTAACATTAATTAACCTTAAAGATCACAATCAAATCTCTGCAAACCCAGGGTTCAAGCCACATCTGCCACACGTTCATCCCATCATGCCAGGGCACGCTTCTACTGTCTGCGCGTAATCCTGTTGACCTCGTGTCCAGTCAGCAGGGGTCATTAAGTAGCAGTTTATTGGTATTGACTGATCTGAACTATACATGCAACTGACACAAAGATGTGGTATTACTACGTGATTGGTAATTTGACTGATTGGTATTGATTAGTAATATTGATCAATATCTTTAGGAACAAACAAATCGGTCTGTCTTCAAAATGTTCCAACTTATAGATGTCACCAGCCTGAAACCGTGTAGAACCTTATAGAACAATGGGAGTTCTGAATGATGGCACGGGGTTGCACATTCAAACATCATCCCTTTCCTCTGATATTCATGTCTATCGGACCCCGAAATGAAGAGATTCAGGACTAACCCAAGGTTTCGTTTGCGATGTACTATTGAGGGACACGGAATTAAAAAGGGCAACCTTCGATATCCGCTTTGAACCATAGCAGGGTATGAACATTTCCCCATCAATGGTGTAGGCTAGAGACCTGGTGATCTGGTTGGTGGTTTCAACCTCTCTGAAGAATATTAGTCAGTTGGGAGTATTATTCCCAATAAATATGGAAAAAACATTCCAAACCACAGGCCAGCGATGACATACCATTACAAGGTGTAACAACCAGAAATCCAAGGCGAAACAAAAAGGGCTCAATGGGAGAAGTGACGAACAGGACCGCCGACAAAATTATTGATGATCATTCCAAGTTGGGTCCGTAACGCAAACAAATGCGATAACAAAAATGTATCAGCTATCCAACATGGAATATTTTGTTTATCCCTTTTCACCCAAATATAAACTGTCATTTTTAATATGTTTAACCATTCAAAGGTGAACCTCAAAGCCTTAACAAAACTTGAAAACTCAACAAGTTCCCTCAAATCTCACATGAAAATATCGCAATTCTCCCATCAAATGGTCGGTGAATCCCCATAGAGATGGACACAGTTTTCCATGCGCCGTCAAGGGGCAGTAGCGTGCTTCTTCCACGAGCTGTGGATTCAGGCCCTTGGGAATCTGCGCTTCAGCTCTTGCAATCACCTCCGGTGAAGTGTTTTTTTGGGGAAAGCTGATGCCGAACAGGAAGTAGGAAAGGCTGGATGAATCTTATTGAAAACTATGATTATTTTAGAGTTGTCTGGAAATCCGCAAATCAATGGGAAACCCCCCAAAAAAGGGAGGTTTGAATGGGTAAATCATCTATAACTGGTGCTTTTCCATTGCCATGTTTGATTACCAAGCGGCTAAAAACTGCAAATTCCCAAAAATCAAATTTCGGGAGTTCAGTAAACTCACTAGCTAATAGCCACATGAAATAACCCACTTACCCTCTGCCTCTGGTAAACAAACGTAACTATTTTTAATGGGTAAATCCACCATAAATTGTTGTCATTTTCAATAGCTATGTTCGTTTACCAGAGGGTATCTACATTTGGAATGTACCCATTTACTATTTACGTCAGTTGGGATGAATATCCCCAATATATGGGAAAATAGAAAATGTTCCAAAACACCAACCAGACATGTTTGGTTTAAAGATGAGTTGCAGTATGTTCCCTCCACTTACTACCCTCCAGTAAACTAATATAGTTATGGAAAACAACTCATTTATAAATAATTTACGTGTAAAAAAAATTCAATAGTTCTGTTACTTTTCCAGAGGGTCATCTGCGTATAGTGGCAGCGTAAGTGATAGCCTAAGAATGGAATGTTTCCCAACCATGATTTGGTGGATCGATTAGCCTCATCACTTCAAAACTTTGTAAAGTGATTGCATGTGATTGCAAAGTATTTGGGGATGTATTTAATGGGATTATTCATGGCCTATTTGGGAGTATTTGGGGATGAAACCACTAAATATACACTGGGGATATCATTGCGATTAAAATTGATCGTGTCAATCGTGGTCAATACGGGTTTCCAGTAGTGATTATTATAATACTCTTTCGGTGATGGAGTGGAACCATACCATGTTGAAATCAAAGTGCACCCAATGTCTGCAATGTCTGGGACCGGTGATGAATAGACCCAATACTAAATCAGGGTTTCGTTTGTTTCGTCTTTGAATATTAAGAGGAAAGGAATTACTCACAATGGTTTGATCACCCCCCAGGAGATTTTAGAGCTTGTTAACCACCAACGACTAACAAGGATTTACCTTTCCAGTGATGAACCCATTTTCATCCCAATGAAACCACCGTATCCATTTCTTGCTGGTGAATAGGTCCACATTTGAAACTGGTGACTGGTGACCTGGGAATTCTCTTGGAACCTGGCAAATCCAGAGCCCTGGGAGCTCCCATGCACGAAGGAAGTGCGAAAGGAAAACTGCCACTGCAGTGCGATGGAGTGCTTTGAGATTCAAACGAATCCGATTCTCAGGTGAACCTTTTGCAACCATACTTCCAGGCTGCAACGGCAGCAAGAAAGATTGTGTGAATAAAAAGACATAGACCTTGAAATACCAGACACAGGTGCCACAGATGCAAAAGGCAGAAAAATAAAACCGCCTGGATTGTGACCAGCAATTTTGAGCTCGCCAGCAATTTTTGACGCCCATCATCAGGACGTAGGAATCAAACATTCGACGGTTCGACGGTCTGTTCCATCGGACACTTTGAGGTTCCATCAACCACCCGGAGGCTGGGATCGGCAGGTGAAGCATCCAAGTCAATGGGCACATGTTCAGCCAATTCAATCCTATGGATCCACAAAAAATTGTGCATTGACCCAACATTTGTTCCATTATTTTATGATAAACACAGCTATAGTAATAGTGGAATCATACCCCCAACTCACAACAGTTCTACCCTGAGTCTCGAAATCTAGTGTTTTTAGTAGCCCGTTAATTTACTTAAATTCTCAAATTTACTAGTAAAAATTACTAGGACCTAGTAAAGTAAATTTATCAATTTACTAGCCTAGTAAAATTTACTCGCAAAGTAAATTTACTAGCCAAGTAAATAAAATTTACTAAGCAAGAAAATGTTTGGCTTGCTTGTTTTTTCAAACAAAAGTGTTAAAAATTTGATAGCTGGGAGCTAAAATTTAATTTGTGAGACTTTAAGATAATTGTGAATTTTCAAAAACTAATTGTGACATATTGTGACATGTGAGGATACCAGTGATGTTTTTCAGGTGCTTGCGAGACTCTTAGTAAACTTGTGGGAATCAAGCAGATGTTTTTAAAACTTTGAGTTTTAGCTTGAAATGTAAAGATTGTGGGTCCTTCGTTTGTCATTTCAAAACAAATTGTAAGACTTGAAGCTAGTGCAAAGGAAAGTATTAAATTCTACAGGGTATTATTTTGATTCCAAAACTATTCGAGACTGTAGGATGCTTGTGAGACGAAATCGAATTAAGTCACTTTTGTTTCCACAGCCAGAGATGATTACAAAGATAAGATAGAGGTGAAGGCAAGTCATCACATGTACAATGCATTTGATAACTTGTAGTCATTGTTTGGCTTCCACCTCACAAGTAATTTTCAAATGTAAACGTCATTGTTTGCTTTCAACCTCACACAATTTATTTCCACATGTAAGTGTCATTGTTTAGTTTGAACCTCACAAGTAATTTTCAACTGCAAGTGTTATTGTGGGGTTTCAATATCACGGGTAAAATTCACATGTAGGTGTTATTCTTGGGTTTTAACATCACAAGTGATTTTCACATGTAGGTGTTATGGTTTAGTTTTAACCTCACAAGTAATTTCCACATGTGAATGTAACTGTTTAGTTTTGACTCCACAAGTAATTTCTACATATGGGGATGTCTCAAAATGAGGTGTCCGTTTTTTCCCTGAAAGGGGCCATATTGGAACCAAAAACGGACACCTCATTTTGAGACATATCCATATAAATTCTACACCAATATTTTTCAAGTCAGTCAGACGGTTTTTTTTGGGAAAAACAACGCAGCAACAACGATTTTGAAAGAAAATCGTTGAATATGGCTAAGTTCCTAATTAGCTATGTTTCAAATCTTATATCTAGATGAAAATTCACATGTTGCTGACTTATATCTGCTCAGCTCAGTGCTGAACAACAACTTCCACTTGTGAAAATATCAAATAGTACAAACCACAAGAAAATGAAAACTTAAGTTGTTCAAACAATTATGCATTTATACCTTTGAAAGTGTTACTTGTGGAGTACTTGTGGTGTAATTGTTTCTCAGTTTCACGAGCATTGTTTTTCTATGGTGTTTTGCTTGCAACATGGCTGTTGCATTTGTTGGACTACATGTGCCTCACTTGAGAATTTCATGTTGATGTAGCCACTGTTGGATATAGATTAGCTGCCCAACAGATGAGGTTTTACCTCTGGCCCGTTCAATCTATCCATGGAAAAAATAGATTGATAGAAAAATAGTTTCTCCGGTTTTGCTCTGACTTGTGACTACTTGTGATACTATCTCAATAATATCTTTGTGTTTAGAGTTTTCTTTCAAAAAAAAGGCTAAGGTTGCCTTATTTTTTTGAAGTAAACCCTCCAGAAACCAACTAAGGCTGCCTTATTTTTTGCAGTCTCTCCAGGTTAGTGACAAGCCTCAGGATGACGATGGTGCATCACCTTTGTCCATTTGACATGGTTCAAACCATGTCACCTTTGATTTTTTGAGCTGGGAAACTTTATATACAGCAAAACAAACAAAAAACAGTAGGAAGAACATAATATCAGATCTATCTTGGGCCACGACCAACTGTAGCAAATAAGGAATCATCCTCGGAAAAAAAAAGTTTTTCCAGTTATTGTTTTCTGACTGCCAAAGTCCATCTGATGTTGAGCACAAATTTCAATTATGTTTTAATTAGGTTTGTTTAGTTAAGATTTTTAGTTACTCATAAAAATCCTATGCATTACTTGTGTCATTGGCTTTGTGTATTTGTAGAAAAATATTCTTTGATATATTTTCTAATCAATTTCTTTTGCATTTCTTATGCATTTCTTATGCACTTCTTATGCACTGTTGATGCACTTTTTATGCACTTTATAAAAGTGCATAAGAAGTACATGTACTTTGATTTAAAGTACATGCATTGCTTGTGCACTTCTTATGCACTTTTATAAAAGTGCATAAGAAATGCATAAGGAATGCATAAGACATGCATACAAAAAACCTGTAAATTCATGATTGGCCCATCAAAATTTATCAGAAAATGTTTAAAACCACACGGTTTTACTGAAAGGGAAATGCACAATCAAAGCATTACCGTAACACATGTAAAGACTCAATTATTCTCAAGTACCATGGATCTATCAAACCATTGCATAAAGATAAAAACCTTGGCTCAACTCAGGTACCCCAAGTATATAACATATTTGAATAAGATTCCACATGTATATCAGGTTTGCTTAATCTCATGTACCACAGGTATCTGAAGGAGTCCACAAGTAAGACTAAACCTGGTCACAAGTAAACTCCATGAAACATGAGCATCACAGGTACATGCAATACACTCTCAAGTAAATTCTAAGTGTGCAAAGTACAAACTGCTCTCCACAAGTACCATCAGGTTTGCCACCCAAAACATCATCACCTTTGTTTTCCACATACATGGATAGTTTCTAAAAAAATCCTACCTCAAAGAAAGAAGGCAACCCCCCTCTAAGACTTGATTGGTGTTACCTCAAAAAATATTGAAACACAAAGTTTTAATTGATACAACGTCACAAGTAATCACAAGTAAGTTGACCCAAACGTAGAGAAACTATCTCACTACCAATTTGGCATCGTCACCATTGATTATAGCCAGAGGTAAAACCTCATTTGTTATGCAGTTAACCTCAATGCATCACAAAAGCACTAAACTAAACATAATATTCCGCAAGTAATGCAATGGTGAAGAACTTTTTTACCCATCAGTGACTACATACAACATGAAAGTCTCAAGTAAGGCACAAGTAGTGCAGGATGGGCCTTTTCTCAAACAATCACATTCACATGTTCAACAATTGTGACAGCCAAATTGCAATAAGAACACCATCTACAAAAAGAAACAAATACATCACAAGTACTCCACAAGTAACACTTCTAAA